AGATAATTTAGGGAAATGAATATGATTACAGTTTATTCATCCTCATTCTATGATCATTTGTTATTGATCAAAGTTAATTGTTTGAATTGTATGAATAACAATTGTATAAGTTGTTACACATGTTTTTCACATAGACTAAAAGATAAAATTTGTTCACTTACAACGTAGGTAAGAATGATGAGGGTAAACTGATTTCACACAATATCAACTACACAAAAATCGATGAATACATGAATTGTAAATAGTTTCCTGTGAAAGTATTGAGCCATATGAGCAATAAAGATTTATCGAAATATGAAGTCAATACTTGATCAGAAGATTATATATATATATATATATATATATATATATATATATATATATATATATATATATATATATATATATATATATATATATATATATATATATATATATATATATATATATATATATAAATGAGGCAACATAATATGAAAAAGAAAATTAAAAGTTATTTAGGAAGATGAAAAATAAACAGACTCATTCATAGTGACATAGACAAAAGTCCATATTTTAAATGAAAAAAAAATATGAATAGGTAAATATTATCCCCAGAGATGAATGACTGATATTTTGAATAATGGAAAATTTGTATAGATACAAACATATAACACCTTGATATTACTTCATTATATATAACCTTATGAGCATGGTAATACTTCTTATACTCAATGTGCAAGTTTTAAAGTATTAATTATTATTTAAAAGAACATATTAAAAAAACTCTATAAACTCTGAATTAAGAGTAATTTATTTTTATTAAGTCAAATACATACCAACTTGAGCGAGTGATCAATTTACTTTAATAATATTTTATCTTTACATCGTTTCAAAAGACTATAATCAAACAATCAACAGAAAGAAATGCTGGAAACAAAGGAATGATAATATTCTAATGTAAATGCAATTCATGAACTAAGACATTGATTCAATGAATATATATATATATATATATATATATATATATATATATATATATATATATATTCATTTGAAATAAACCTTTCCCAAAGTGTTTTGTTTGAAGAATAAATGAGAAAGTACTACCAAGATACAAATCGAATAATTAATGATTATATGCTATATCGTCTATTTTTCATTTTGAGATGATAAAAGTATTCATTCAGTCACATTCGATGCTGAACAGTAAAATTGAATAAAAGAGATGTATTGTAGCAGTGAAAATAATCATGTCAGTAACTATAAGAATAATATCAAGAGTGTAGTAGTAGTAGTAGTAGTTGGTAAATGTAATAATGATAGGAAAAAAAGGAAAATAATTATAGTCTATCATTGGGCTGATAGTTATAATTGTAATTATAAATTATAATATTACACATAGTAGCAATAATTTTATTTTGTTAAGATTAAACTAATCGGATACAAATTAAATGTAAATATGTTCCTTCTATCCATATGATTTAAAGATATATATGTATATTTTTATATGTTGAGATCAAAATTGGTGAGTGATTAGGAAAGTCAAAAATAAAATCAATGGTGAAGACAATTTAATGTATTTTTCGGTACTTGAAAAATGCATAAGTTCAAGATGAGAAAGAAAAACAGTATGTGTAAGAAAATTGTGTTGAATATACGTAAATCATTTGAGTCTATTCAATATTAACTATTAAAAAAAAAGAAAAACACGTTTCATGTTTTGTTGTTGAATTTTTAAAGTTCCCTTAAGCTATAACTTAGTAGATGTGATTGTCCAATCTGATTTTCAACCTACATTTGGCAAAAAGACTTGTATATTTATATAGTTGTATGTTGTATAAAACCGGATGATAAATACTCTTGTCTATGTATATGTTTATATATATATGTATAATATCTAAATTGTTTAGAAGAAAATCACCCCAAAAGAAGAATGTCACTCAACAATGATCAAACAGAGTTAATTTTTATCTAAACGTTCATCATATTCATGTTCTTCATCTTCTTCAGGAACATCTTGTGGTGTTGTATGACGAAGATTACCAGAAGCACTAATCGATCCACCTCGGTTAACTGATGTACTTTGACGTCGAGCTGCTAAAACTAAAGGATGTGTCATACCTTCAGTATTAAGCTGACTTAAAGTAAAGCGTCTAACACTTCCAATCCATTCATCTGTACGATTATCTAAATTAGGTTTACGTGCAGACTAATTTTGGGGAATAAAATAAAGTTAGTGTATGTGTAATATTAACAATCACACCAAATACCCAAGGGAATAGATACGTGCAGGATAATTCAATCAAACAATGGATGTTCACAATGATTGAGGATCAATTATACAGATTAGATAAACATGCAAATAATAATTTTTTTTCAAATAATGTTTTTTTTTTCAATTTTATAATCAGGCAAAAAAAAGGGAAATGTTTACATACAACACAGGGATAAATGCAGCAGGGAAAACCAATTTAAGGGAGATAAAATTCAAAAAGGATTCAGGAAAAGACAATATTATACATTTAATGTATTTTAAAACCGTTAGTATCGATAAACCGGTTAAGCATACAAACATATTAAAAAAAAAGAAGCAAGGATATATATGTATATACAGATAGATTCATTCATTCATGAACAAAGGTTATTACAAGGCAGAAATAATGATTAAGTTCAACAAATAAAAAGATTCAACATATCATGAATTAAAATATAAATTAAATTATTATTAAAAGATAAGTAAATGTTTTATGGAACATTTAAGAGAGAAAAAAATGAAGCATAGGGATTCAGATAAAGAATAACAAAAGAAAGAAAGGAATATATATATTTTTTTCATTGTATCATTTAAAGGATAAATAAAAAGGCATTCAAATGCAGGTCAAAGGTGAATTGGTGTACAGGGTTTGGATTGTAAAAACAAACAAACAAAAACAAAACACATTGAACATAATCATATAAATTGATATGAAATATATCAATTGTATTATATATATATATACATATATATAAATGGTATAACAAATGTGATTAAACCATTATGTTTTTTTTTGTAATTTTTATTATTTTCAAAAACGATGATTACGTGAATTGTGCGATTCGAACCATATATATGGAGAGGGAGAGGATATTACAAATGAATGAAAGAAAAGGACAGGAGAAAGAAAAAAAAAACAACTGTCAAGTTAATGAACTTAACTAAATTTTACAATGCCATTTCAACAGATTTAGATTTATTAAATAATTTTAATTATGAAATTGTGAAAAAACAAACAAAACCGCAGTAAAGATGATTAACCTTTTTTTAAGTATTAAATAGATATGATGAATAGTGATTTAGGTATTTAGTTGAGATGTGAAACATTTTTATTTAAATATAATGTAAGTATTAGTACTACTAGAATTTAATGATTGAATCAACTAATATGCGTTTTTTAACAATCATATGTGATTATATCTATACTGTTTTAACATTTTATTTCTTAGAAACTAAAGTTTTTGAGATAATAAAAAAATCAATGTAATAAAGAATGGTAACATAATCTATTTTGATTTCACCTAGTATACCTTGATGTCAAAGTATAAATTAATATAGAGGATACGTTAAATCTACAGAATAGCAAGAATGTAAAAGTTTCTCTATATTATTACACATAGATTATTGTGTACACAAATCTCTACTATTGAATAGACTTGAATAGCTCAGAATGTGACTATTAAGTCATTTTTACATTTGTGATAATTATTCTATTCATAAAGAGTTATGATTTTTCGTACATATAACTTTTATTTTCATGTTACTGTGGCTCTGCACTTATACGTTTCATGTGTTATTGTATGTGTCTATTGTACACTTTTGATGCCAGTCTCGTTGTTGCAATATGCATTATCTATTTTGAGTTATATTAATATCTGTTATCAGTAATACTTTAATTATGACCATCTGGCTTCTCCGTTTTTCATGCTATCGTTTGTCTGACAAAATGAATTTATGTAATATAAACATTTGTAACACATGCAGATAACATTTTGTATCCACATTATTTTTGACAGGATTTGCAGATAGAACATAAGCAGAGTGTACATTTTGTTCACTTTATTAACAATTCGATCATAATAAAGTTAGTAAACAACCACTTTAAAGGATTTTATCATGTAACATTAACTGAACAATCTGTGAGAATGACAAAGTTAACTCATAATGAAAATTAATCTTAAACTTTATAAAACCGATTCTACAAAATTAGTATTGAACAATTATTAATAAATTAGTCAATTTCATTGGTAACTTTTTAGAACATTTCTCTACATTAAATTATTAAAAGGATAGATTTTCGATAATAAATAAGAGATTATCAGAATGGGTTTTGTGGAGAATTTAAGAAATTTCACAAGTTGAAGTCATGAGTTAGTTGAAACTAGACCACCATCGAAAACCTGGAAGCACTGGACGGCCGTTTCGTCCTGGTATGGGACTCCTCTGCAGTGCGCATCCACGATCCCGCATCACGCGGGGCTCGAACCCAGGACCTACTGGCTTCGCGCGCGAGCTGAGGAGTCTCATACCAGGACGAAACGGCCGTCCAGTGTTGCAGGTTTTCAATGGTAGTCTAGCTTCAACTGACTCATGATTTAAACCTGTGAAATAAGAGATTAATGACACCAAATAAAACTGTCAACTTAAATTTATTCCATGAATCGAATAATTTAAGCTTTGATTTAAGAGCATTATTTTTTTTAAAAATTTTTCTCCGGAAAATGAACTTTTCAATTTGAAAAAAATATCTGTACACATCCTAACATTATAATGATTTAATTCAATCATATAGTGTTATTATTTTAGTTATTATATATATATATATATATATATATATATATATATATATATATATATATATATATATATATATATATATATATATATATATATATATATATACTAGACTGTATCTGTTATGAATTCAGAATGGTTATCCATGAATCTAATCAGTGTGCTATATGATATCAGAGTAGATGATTAGTTTTTCTTCCTTTTTTTGTTTGTATATTCAATATAATTTTGAGATAAGCATTTTAAATTACTCAACCAACAACGTTTTGCACAAAATTTACTTATATTATTATGTGTTATATGTACACCATACAGACCAAGCATGAAAAAGTAGTGTTTCTTTTTTTCAACATTTTTGTTAATTTAATCTAAATGTTAAAGAGAACAAGAACGAAGATTGGTGTACTTATCATCATGTGTGTATGAAATTAATTCAAATGATTAGAATATAAACAAAACAAATGACATTCAATATAAAATATGACAACAATATGAAACGATTTAACATTTAATATGAAACAACACTAATTAGTTTAATTTCATAGATCCAATTAATTTTATGCAAATGATTTCATCATCATCATTATAGTAATGATGTATTCATTAGTAAGAGTGATGTTTTCAAAATAATAAACAAAATGTAAATATAAGAAAATATTTTGAAGAATATAATTCATTTTATGTTGTTTACAAAAATTTATCATTTTGATTTATGTTATGATAATGAAGTGATCATGGTTAGACAAGTAAAATTCAAAATACAGTAAACATTTAAGAAATACAAACAACAACAACAACAAAAAGAAACAATAGTAAACAGATAAAGTTTTTTTTTAATAATCTGATCCTTGTTTCGTTTGAAATTCGTGCATTTAACAACAGAATACAACAACAAGTATACATAGTATAGAAAATTACTGAACAACTTAACTGGCTTACATAAGTTAACATTGAATTATGTAGTTGAGTGTACATGAAGTGTTTTTATTTTTTATTTCGTCGTTAGAATTGATTTATTTTAAAATGATTATTTTTCAAACAATTTCCTTTTCAAATTAAACCATAATTTGTGTAATAGGATTAGTTGGTTACAATCAAACATGAATATACACACAGTATTGCTTTTATTTTTCTCATCTCATACACAAAAATACGCACATACAGTCAAGGTAGTAGTCAACGAACGTCCTCTATTATGATGTGTTTTCAAGCAAACTAATTCACAGTAAACACTAGCGTTATTATCATTAATATTAACTTAGAAGGACTTAAACCTTATACGTTGTTCCATGACTTGATCACTTATTTGGTATTTAGAAATTTATTTATAAAAATGCGTATTTATAAATTTATTGATTTTTAGCATATTTCGTTTACAAATGTCAAAACTAGATGTCATGACAATTGTAATTATGTAGAGAGTTTCTAAATCTATGAAACAAAGGGTTGTCTTTACATTTCTGAGTAATAACATCAAGGCATTTATAGACTGATTAAAAAAAAATTAAATATACCAAAATATGTGGTATTTGTTATTATTGTTAGCTATCACCTGAAGTATATCAAAATAAACTAATTTGATATTAATGAAATGTGTCAGAACCTGGAAAAATATTTAAATAATTCATTGTTTAATATAGGAGAAATCATATCTTCTGTAGTATTTCTGCTCTATGCAGTGGTGATCTTATACTAAAAGAGATTTACGTGTACCTTAATTTTGCAGAAAACAATGAGATCATTTACTTCAAGAAGAATACTTAAAATTTTCTTCAGGTTAAAAGAGGAATAAAACAATGTAGACTTACGGAATTAAGTTTTATTTCAAGGCAAAACCACATGCTTATTAGATAAAAGATGTTTATTTCAATTTGTATATAACCGTATCTTAAAATATGCGAATAATGATATTTAAATTAATAATGGAAATGAAGATTAGTTATATCTACCAATGTCAAACAAAATACGTTCAACGTTCTTGTGATATCTGAAGCAAGATCGTGAATGATTTTCAGTCACCCACCGAACACTTCACTTTTCTTGAATGAAATAGATGTGTTTCTAACACTTGGTATTAGAATTATTTTAAGATATCACGCACAACGTAACTCCTTGTTTTCCTTTAGATCATAAGTCCCAAAATCTCATACTTTTTTTCTATGTAAAGGTTTTTACTCCTACTAATACTGTTACTATTTTCAGTACTCCGAGATTTCTCTAGTTTGTGCTGATGATTATGTGACTGCTTGAACTAACCCATATATTTGTCAATTGGTCAGATGCACAAGATTAACTAACTTAGTGACAGATTATATCATATAGCTTATTTACTAAAAAAACGTACCTGTGTTTGTAATCTTGATAAGCCTCGAATCCATAATATTTGGCCAGTATTACGTAGATTGGCACCAACTATATCCTCTCTATCTTCATCATCTTCTTCTTCATCTTCCTCTTCCTCTTCTTCTTCTTCCTCACCTTCAGGTTGTGTATAAATTGCACCAAAACCACGAGCAACCGCATTTGCCGCTTTACTTACAAAACCTGTACTAGCTCTATGCACCACACCACCATCTGCAAGTTGTGGATGTACTAAATCTTGAGTAACTAGACCGTCTGTTTCCATTCCCAATGCATCTTGTGTTGCAATTAGTGTTAAACGTCTGGGCTTGGCTATTCTACGTCTTCTCTTTGGTATTATCCATACTGGTACTGAAATAATAACCTTGAGTTAGAAATAATGAATGGTGAAAAAAAGAAAACGGAATGAATTGTTTCTCACATCTTATCACATCAGAAACGGGCTTTTTGGATATTATAAAATTTTAAAAGTTGAATTCATGAGTCAATTAAAGCTAGACCACGATGAAATGATTTGTCCCTGGTTCGAGTCCCGTGAGCAAGATTGTGGACTAACACTGCTGAGGAGTTCTACACTAGGACGAAACGGTCGTACAGTGTCTCCAGGTTTTCCATGGTAGTCTAGCCTCAATTGACTCATGATCTCAACTATCGAAATAATAATAATGACAAAAATAATATCAATGAAAATTTTTAACAAACCTGACCCCAGAGTAGAGTGCCTATTCCAAAAAATAAACACCATAACCAATGTTCTAAAGCTAATGGTCGTGTGCTAAATGCATAGCCACCAAACTGAATAATTATGACCTAGAAATATTAAAAAAAAGTATGCAAAAAGGCAAAACTCTTAATGAATATTATTTCGATTAAGTTCGTGATCATAGAAGAATTAAATAAATTTCTTTTACTTTCAATATAATAAAAAAGCAGAATAAGTTAGTGTAAATAGTACATTAGGATTGTTTTATATTATTTCAGTCAGTTACAACGTAGGACGAGGCACATACATGCATCGCTTCGAGCTGCCACATCTAATTAGCACAGCAAGATGAACACTGGATTCATAGAAGCAGTTAACTCAATGGTGCAATATATAAAGGAAAGATTTCATGTAACGATATAGTACAGAAAGAAAGAATTAGTTCTTAAGAAGAAAGGTATGAAATAATTTTAATCTCATAGCTTAAGGGAAAACAAAGAGTGTATACACCTACGCCATTGTGATCGATTCTGAGCCATGCCACACAGAGTCTCCAACCATTGGTTATGATAGTCAGAAAATAATCAAACACATTTTCTGGCCTAAACATATCTGTCGGCTTCCTCATATCGACGGAAACTCGGTTAAGAATCTATTTTGAATTGGCTTTCGACATTACCCATTTTTGTCTTTTCTGAAATCATATATAATATATTCATTATTAGCAATAGTATTTTCGAGATAAAGTAGTAGCACTTCTGAATATTCATGGTGTATTGAATGTTTTCTGAACCCGAATTAACTTAACATGTGATTAGGATTTACAAGATTAATAATATGAATATACTTAAATACTTATCAGTATGATGTAAATTTTTTGGTGAAATATAATCCAAAATATTAAGAGTAATGTGAAAGAAAATGATCTAACATGAACTATACGTTCCCAAGATTACTTAGTTCAAGAATGCATACTAAGATTATAGAGTAGAAAAGAGGTAATAAGTATCGTTTAATGAACATATTCCTTAGGATAATATTGTTTTTAATTAAATTCTGAAACTCTAATAGTCTCTTTTATTTTTATTTCAACGTGAACACACCTCTTAGCAAACAAGGAACTTTATTTTCGTTTTGGAACCTCACATACCTATTATCAAAAGGAAACGTTTGCACATAGAACTGTTTATCACATTATGCATTTCAATGAATAAACACCTAACTACAATACAATGTTATACTACGTTCCAGTGACTAATTTTCTATCTGGATTGACTACTGGTTTAGTTACTGATGATATCCTGAAGGTACAACTAGTTACTTGCCTCTATATAACTGAACAAGGACTGATATGACTAAATATCAAAAACAGTACAAGACTGCAGATGAAGATCTACTTATACGTTAACTATAAATCCATAATCAATTTATCAGTGGTTCAGAATCTGTATCGAAATAACAATGAGTTTTGTACGATTTACTTATCTGGTTAATCAGCAAATTGGAATATAGGGAATAAGTCAGTAGCTGACATTAATTAAACAGCAAAAGTTTACTGTATCAACAGATTTACAGATGTTAATGAACAATCTAATAAATTACTTAGTTGCAAATCTCTTTACCAATGTTATCACGCATGACTGAAATGAGATTAGTGCAAGTAACTATTTGAAACGTTCATAAACAAAATGAAACATCACTTTAATATTTCACTCGGCAAATAATTGGTCTACTTAATAGATGCTTAGAATGTTTGTAAATCAACATACTGAAAAACCTGATAATCCATCCAATTTACATGTTTGACGTACAATTTTACATTAAACATTTCATAATCCAATCATTATCAGTATACTATGTTATGAAGTTATTAATAAACATTTTTAAATTTTCCAACATGAATTAAACAGGTATATTTGAACCAATAGACTTTTTGTAGATATTTTGAATTCCCTTTTGGGGAATTGTTTGATGCAATATAGGTTTCATTAACTTTATAGTAGTAGAAATGTCGATAAAATTTATTTCACAATGATTGATGACTTCAGCTATTACGCAGTAATGAATTACTAACTTCTTTTTGCTTAAAAATATTATTAAATGAGTTCAGATCAACTCAACGACTCATTGAAAGAAAATGACTAGCTTATGGTTGACTTTCAGGATAAATTTTCGTATATATATATATTTATCACTGGTATTCTTACGTATTTACTATATGTCTAATCGAATTTACTTGTAGTGTGGGTTACTTATATCCACTTAAGTAGTATATAACGGTGGCCAGGCATTAAATGTATTTCAGTAGAAGGTCGATGAGGAAAGAACGGGAACGGAACGCAATTGGTATGAAAATGCATAAACAATCAAATTTGAAACAATGGATTGATGTTTGCAACAGGAACAGTCAAGTTTGAGATGACGGACTGATATTTTGCAAATTAACGATTTAGTGTATGGTTCTTAGATTTTAGTGAGTTGCTCTGTAATTTTGTGCTCAAATACGTTCCTGTGTCCCCACCCTTGTTCTCGTTTGCTACACACTCGCTGAGCTTATATGAATAAGCTAACTGAGTTGATGGATAATCACGTCAAGCGTTATATTTTCCATAACTGACTGATTTGATATGTTCTTTTTTCTTTCATTAAAACGTTTAATAGCAGTATGGTTAATTAAATAATAATATTTCTGACTCTAGTATGCGTCTGAGAAAAAAAGTCGGTACAAATAATCATAAACAGTATAAAAACAAAAAGCTACCTAATCCTTTTTATCTAGAGGCAATGGGATTGTATACACTTAAAGCTGCTTAAAGATGTTATATAAAAAACCACCCCAATGAAACGAACAGATATCTAGCTTGCAAGGTTTATTGTAATTCATCACTGACAGACGATTATTTATAGTGAACAATGAAGGATTATACTTTTTTTTCAGATGAGCATTAAAATGATGTATGTGAAATTCAGTTTTAAAAATGATTATCTTAAAATTTAAGAGTAGATCTGTGTCCTAGTAAACAACTAAGTAAGAAAGCCAGTCTTTCTGACATTTATTTTCCGAAGGAATCAACTTACTTGTAGTATAAATGTCGAAATCCAAATTATAACAAATAATAAATTGTTAGTTAATCCAGAGAATATATTTCGTTGTCCATGTATTTTTCTGGCATTAATTTCATTAAATAATGTCATCATAACAAATGAATTGAATATCACAGTGAAATGTTCTGTTGGACGATTTATACCTTTAGCACTTAAACCACGACCATTTTCAACATCTAACAGTAATTCACCTAAGAGGAAAAGTAAATAAGTGAAAACATTGTAACAATAAAGGGCACACATAGAACAGAACTATTAAGGGTTTCAAAAAATAAAAGAATGGTCATAAAATAAAGAATACAAGTGAATGTAACACCAAAATTAATTTTTAATTGATGCGGTGAATTAACATCGGTTGTTTATGAAATCACAAATTACGACTTTCACGTCTCACATAGTCACAATCAGTGACCAAATTATACAACTGCACTAGATTTATTATTATTGACCATTTATGCCTTATCTCGTATTACTGTCATATCAAACAAAGTGTAGTTAATGGAGTACTAAGCAAATTCACATAAGCAGCTAGAATCGAATTTTTGTCAAGTAAATATGTCACATATCGAAATGGGGGTTTGTGGAGATTCTAGTAATTTAATGTTTGAATTCATGAATCGATGTAAGATAGACTACCATTGGAAACCTCGAAACAATGGACGAGCATTTCATCCTAGTATGGGTTTCCTTGGCAGTGCTCATCTACGAAACCACACGCCGGACTCAAACCGAGGACCTTCGATCTCACACACCAACGCTTAAATTCTAGGCCATTGAGTCGCGATCCAACGTTGTTAATGTCTCACTTCAACCAATCCATGAAATTGAGCGACCGTCCACTATTATCTTCAGTAAGTAACTGCCTCAGTTACAACAGCGTTTCCAGGAGTTCTGGTAAGAAGCCGTGACCAGTGGAGTTCAACCGCGTCTGTTATGAGGCAGTTACTCACTGAAGAAAATGATGGACGGTCGCGCAATATCTTATTGTATATCTATTTGTTGATTGATTGTCATGAGCCTTAAATGATCTACTAAATACAAACATTTATGATAAGGAGTAGATTCGAAGAAACTTTATATATATACGATACACTTTGTCTGGAGTCCTGAAATACTGGATACATTATTTTATTTTCCCTATTCACAAACACATTTACTGCAAAAGGAAAACTCTATTCCAGCGACTCATTTAATAATTGAAAGACAACCACTTTAAACAAAAAAAAGAAATTGGGAGAGAACGTCGGCAAATGTGATAAAGACTAACTTATTCAGAAAGTAATTTAACAATGGGAAATAGAATACATTTGACGAATATTAACATCTGCCTTACAAATAAAATTTACGTTGTTAATTTCAAAGTACCCTAACAACAAGCACCTAAACATTTATTCGCAATGGCTTATTATTCCATTAACTTGGTATTACAATCTGTTATATAAAATGAAACCAAAATTTTTCGAAAAAAAAATGAAACTTCATGACTTTATTTCATCTCGATGTTTATCTACTTAAAATGTATTAAGTAACATAAATGCAACAGACAAATATTTACTCGAATCCATAGACTAGAAAAAAGTATTATTTTGATGTGTCGTTATTGTAACCAAATTTCAAATAAATATAATTTCAAAAATTAAATAACAGTTAATAAGCAAGTGCTTGACATACCGAACCATATTAGAAAGAAAATAACACTTAGTTGATAAATAGACTGCCCGATGATATTTTTAATCATATTACGACTGATAATAGGCTTTGTTCTACCGTATGGTGCTCGTTCAAGTAACTCTTCTGTTGGTATTTCAGTTGCCAAGGCTAATGAAGCCAAAGTGTCCATGATTAAATTGACCCATAACATTTGAACGGCCTTAAGTGGACTATCCTGTTTAATGGACAATGAAAATGTAATTATAAAAATAATTATTTATTTAAACCATATAACAAACTAGTTTGATTAAACTCCAAAATGGACACAAAATATAGCTTCCAGATAAGTATAATAACTTCATTTAATTTGCACAAATATTTCTTTCAGTCTTCTTTGTACGTACTATCACTGCCCTTTAAATTTCGCGCAGCATACTTGAGGACTTATCTAAATTCTGATTGGCATATTCAAGTCCGCCAGTATTTTTTAATTTCATCAGACAACCAGAAAGTTGACTATTCATCATATATTCTCTCCAATCGCCTTAAAATTTTTCTTATCGATTTACGATTTATTAGAGTTGAAATACTAATTATATTAATACTGATTTTTTTCAAAATATTTAGAGGTTAAGCGTTCGAGCGCCAAACTGAAAATCTTTTGTTCTAGTACCGCATGTGGGTGTGCACTGCTGAGTAGTTCCATACTAGGACAAGATGGTTGTCCAGTACTTCCACGTTTTCAATGGTGATCTTGCTCATATTGACTCATGAATTAAACTATTTAACTCGAAACAACATTGAGAACGTTGAAGTTAATTTTTTCTTAGTAAGTGGTTATACGTTATTTAGACATTTCAGGACATTATATGAAAAAAATAAGATTCTTTGAGTAAACTACCCATTACAATTTCAGATTATATCACTGAAATATGCATCACTTAGATAATATCATTTTATTTATACTTTTTATCATTTAATTTGTTAAAATTTAAATAAATTCTTTGAATTAAATTAAACAACAAAACTATCATTTCAACTATGTTTATTCCATATAAATATGTACCTTAAATATATGTTATATTCCTTTATTATACATAATTGATGTTGATTTTATATATTCTACTAATTTGTCAAGATATCAATCTTTTAAGAGTTTTTTTCTTTTCCAAAGTATCATTGAATATGAGTTCAAAGTGTTCCTTTTTTTCTCCCTTTTTTTCCAAAATTATATTCTCATATTGAATATCGAATGATTTCCTAATTTAATTTACTATGTATTCATATTTGATTCTATTTTTTTTCTTCTTTCTACATCTGTAACCTTATTAATTAATTACTTGAAATAAGGCCAAAAGAATTAAATTTCATCTTAGATTATATTATGGATGTAACCTTTTTATACAATAATTTAAAGACAGTTAGGACTATGCTTCTTTTTTTTTCTTTAAAAATTATTGAAAGGAAATTTAGATAGTTTATTTATTATCTTTGTTAAGAATCAAATATAAACATCTCAATGAATGTTTCTTGCCAATAAATACCAATTTACTATTGAATAAAAACAATATTTTACCGGTACAACATAGATTATATCTAAATTTATATTTAAAAATATTTCTTCTTTAACTTACAGTTATTAGACATGCACCAACAAATGCAACTATAATAGCAACCATGTTAACAGTTAGTTGAAATTGAAGAAACTTTGAAATAGAATCGTATACGTTTCTTCCCCACATGACAGCTTTAACAATACTTGTAAAGTTATCATCTGTTAATATAATATCTGAAGCTTCTTTTGCAACATCTGTTCCTGCTATACCCATAGCGAAACCAACATCAGCCTTTTTCAATGCAGGTCCATCATTTGTACCATCTCCAGTTACAGCAACAACTTCACGACGAGTTGAAATATGACTGTCTATAATCCCACTTACTAAAGTATATTTATCCTGTGGTGAAGAACGTGCAAGAACCCTTAACTGTGGCCATACTTGATCCATTAGATCTTGTCTAACACGATTTGTACGTGGATCACGTACACGAGCATTGAATTCTTTTCCTTCCAACACAATATAGTTATCACCTGGTTTAAGAATGCCACATTTAGCAGCTATCGATCTTGCTGTGTTAACATTATCACCGGTTACCATACGTACAGTGATCCCAGCGCGTTGACACTTTCTTATAGCTGCAGGAACCTCTGGTCGTACAGGATCTTCAATTCCGACTATTCCAATACATGTTAAATCAGCAACGATAGTATCTTCATCATCAAAATCAGGTATCTGTCCACGATTTAGAGGAACCTCATTCGAAAATAGCCCAACAGCTTTTATAAAAATAAAGAATAAAACAATCCATATCAATACTTTAGACATTAATCCTAATTTATTAAGAATACAAACATTTGAAAGTTTTTAAGAGAAGTATTTGACTTAACTTTTTGTATTAATTCATTCAATATAATCAAATATTATATGAATAGTATTCTTCTATTACTGTCATCAAGAAACACTATTCGTTGATTAAAAAGGATTAGAAGACTATTATTGAAAATAGAGTTTGTTTTCTTATCTTATAATACAGATAGGTTTTCAACTTCGGTTTTACCATTCAAAAAATTTGACTGATATAAATACATGAGCTAGTGAACCACTGAAGATTTCATCCAATTCATTATGTTCGAAAGAAAAAAAAAACTCCAGTATTTATAGGAAAAAATTAATCTATGATATTTTGTATCATGTTACTACGCTACATATAAAATGATAAGTTTAGATGTTTTCAATTATGAATTTAGAATATGATATGATATCAAGCTGTCAATATTAGTTATTCAGTTTTATTTTACACTTGTTTAATTCAATAAAACACAATATGCATATATTTTCTTAGTCATCGATTGAAACTAATCATGCAACATTGTTATTATAAGACTACATATGTATCTGTTATATCTTGGAGAAGATTAAATTATGGGTAACGTCTGAGAATTATCTATGAATTGATATTGTACATATATACTTATCGTTTAACTGTTAAGAAATTAAACCATATATATTTGTATTTCTCTTATTATAAGCTTTTTTGATCTATTGCTTATTGTTATGACTTTCTATTCTCAAGTTATTCTCAATCCATTAGTCACAGTTTCTCACAATCACAGCCACGTTCGGCTTAATCTTGCACTACAGTTATTTTATATTTTATGGTGTGATATGGTCTGAATTTACTTGTATATAAACCAAGTATGTTTGAAAATATATGATTCGATATAACGGAGGCTAATATTTGCGTCCTGGACTGAATCGACTGGGTTAAACGAAAAGCTGCTATCTCAAGGACCGATAAGAACTCTAGGCTGCTCGCAATGGTTTATGCGCCTTTGGTCTGATCAATAAGTTTGTGACTCGTATCACCTGATATATTAACAGAGCAAAATGATCATAAAATATAACAGTATCATTTGCATGTAGTTCATATTCGCACAATCCTAAAGCTAATGAAACACGATTTACATAACACTAAGCACACAATGCTCATAGCAGCTTATAAAAAACTGTATCTTTTTCAATCATCCAAATTGACAAATGATAAAAGAAAGAATGTCTGTTAATTTATCCAGCCAAAATGACATACAAAGTGTACCTAATAAATGAATCAATTTTTTTAGTGAACATATTCTGCTCATAATTATTCTCAATCTTTTTCTCTGAGTTTACAACAATTCATTAATAAAATAATTAAAATTTAATGATGATTGTCTGTAGATCGAGACTTCATTTTATAGAAAACAACAACATTGTCTCATCATATTAAGCCGAACTATAATTATATCCTTAACTTATTTGAAGATATTTTTTACAGTTCTATATTATTCAATTGTAATTATGTTTGTTGTCTGTGTTTTAATCTCATCTTAAGATTAAGAAATAAGCCATTTAAAATATTAAGTTATTATTTTTGTCACTTATGAAGTCGGCATTCAAAACAGGTAACTATATTATGTGAATGAAATGAACTGAATGGTAGTTTATTTTAATCAATCAACCATTATCACAGAGTTTGTTGAAAATTATTCTATGACCTATAAATTTTTATAAATTGTCATTCTATTTAAGTTCGGTGATAATTTGATATCTGAAAATCATTTGGACGAGTGATTGGTGCAAATCTTTTACATCATGGTTATGAGGTTCAGTGATGTACAGAGTGAGATAGTTATTACAATGTGTAGTGAATCCCAGTCAAACAATATAATAAATCTTAATAAATTTGGAAATATCAATACTTCAATACGACTTCAAGTCAGAGTGCTCAACATGAAGCTCACAGTTTGATTCCTTGAGAGATTGAAAGTTTGCAATACTGAGAAGTTCTATGCTAATATTAAACAACTCTTTATTACTTTCTCAACAAAATTTGTTCCGTAACGTAAATCGTTTTAAAATAAACGGAAGTTTCAGTAATATATCCAAGCTTTTGAAAAGAGTAATTGGAACAAACAGTTCAGTCCTTGCTCCATTAACATCAGTCTCAAACAACAGGTTGGACTGAAAGCTTTCTTGAATTTTTCATCCTAAACTATTCATAACATTTTTGAGATGTCTATCAATGAATCAGAAAGCATAAATATAGTCCACAATCTTATGACGAAAAAACTGTCGGTGAGTATCCAGGTTTTCTTCAAAGAGCAATTATTTTATTAAAGTTGTTTTTAAAAAAATGACAACCGAAAAGATAACAACGAAGCATAGCGTATGGTATTAGGTAGAAACTTCGTTAACTAAGGTGGGTGGAAAATAGGTTTTGCATGTTTAATTAATATCTACCCTTAAGTTCAGTACCATGTGGTACGAAGTTTAATTTAACAAAGAATAAGAGCTACCAAAATAGTACACGTCATCACTTCGTAAAGTCATTGGCTGTTGATGAGAGACTATAAATGTTACAAGTATATTATCTCGCTTTGGAATACTTGGTTAACAGTTATTTCATATTTCTCTCACTAAAATTCAGTTCTCATTTTCAAACCACATTGCCGACAATTAATTTCCCGCTTCAGCTTGACTTCGTTTTCACAGTCCTGATAAACCTATTTAACTGTCATGATATGAATTGTGACAAAACCTACGTCTCTTATAACTCACTAATTGCTCAAATCACTGTGAATGCATGCGAATACTCAGTGATTAGGATGAAAGCTTTTGTAAAATCATTTCGCCAATATGTATTCATCCTTGACAATAATTTTGACTTTTATACACTTTCATATACCTTTCTTATTCGATTCCGTTGTACAGCTATGTCTACGTATTTGTTAATAAGATTTAAAATTTAAAAGTTAAATTCATGAATCATTTAAAGCTAGACCACTATGGAAAACCTGGAAGCACTTTAAAAATGATAGGAAATGCAAACCAACCTAGATATGATTTAGTATTTTTATCCTCATTACTCTATTATCTATAACATTTACAAATTTACAATGAATACCTATTCCGAATATGTCTACTGTAATATTATAAAGAAATGCCTTAGTACCTGCGTAAATGAAAGACGGACAACGTTTTACCTTACAAAGTATAAATAATATACATGTTCAATTTTTAAATAGCTTTAGACACCCTTCTCAATAATTCTAGTTACAAACAAACATTGTATCAAATGGATAAAATCATTTAGAAATCGAACTCTTGAATAAAAAAAGACTAATAAAATATAACTTACTAGGATCTATATAACTTTTGTATGCAATACCTATAGTACGTAATCCATCACTAGCCATTCGTTCAATTACATCTCGAACTAAATTATCTTGATGAGATTTACTAAATGGTTTAGGTTCACCATTAGCATCCAAGATGAAACTACATCTGAAATTTTAATGGGAGAATAAGCATTCAAATCAACTTCAGGATTACTATTGTTTTAAATAAGCAAAATAATTATGGCATACATACAACAAATACCCCAGTTTATTGTGGTTTTAAAATGCAATTAACTACTATTAAATTATCTTGTTAATGACACTCGTTACAAATTGACCACAACAGAGGATACTATTTAAAACCTGTGACCATTGATTCGCTCTTATAAAGAAGCGAAATCAAAAACTTCAGTTCTTTCAGTGAATGCTTAGTCAGTGTACTATAACAAATTCTAATAATTAACGTTCGATATTGAAGTTTTAAATTAGTGTAATGAGAGATTAGTAAGACATCTCACGGATTATAATCACAAAAATAAAACCATCTATAAAGTCACCTTCTTTTAGATATTAAAAAAATTAGAAATAATCAAATAGTAATTATCCAATTAAAAAATGTGCCTGATTTCATAACTTACTTTTTTAAAACCATTTCGGAAGCACCTTTAGTGAAAACAGTATAACCTGGCCTATCAGGTTCCAAGTTTTTAATCACTGTACTCATTGACTTTCGTAGAGAATTAAATGTGAATACTTTCACTAAACTTTCTTGTGGCCACCGTTCTCGTATATCCTCATAATTCACGCCTAAATGGCGTACAAATCCAAGCAAAGCACATTCAGTTTTATTTCCTAGTTGTTGTGGTAATTCACCTGGTTTGTCTGGAATCTAAGATAATAATACGAGTATTTTGAAACAAACAGAAAATATGTTAGGCAAATTTCTTTTTATTCAGAAAAAAACTTTGTTTCAAGTAAAAATGAATTCTACTTAATGAGACAGAATTATTGATGAATTTATTGTGTACTAATTCTGACCAACTCTTGTTTACTAGTACAAAGTAGTTTCATTATTGGTATTTGGTTGACTTAGATAACCAATTGCAAATAAAAGGATTTTCTTTTTGTGTATTTACAATAAATTAGTTGGTCACTATCTTACGATGTTTCTTTATTGACTGCATGGTGAAGACTTTCAAGAACATACATTGTTAAGTCGCGTTTTGATACTCTCTTGTATCTGGAGTAATTGTTAACCAATTTCATACATAGATCCATAATTATCGTGCTTAACATAGGCATAATTTTTGATATACTTTAGTGAGCGAGAACAATAGTGGTTACAACTAAATGTATTTCAACCCAAAATTAGAGAATCTCTTAGTAAAATCTGAGAACCATACAATAAATACTCCATTTGCGAAATGTCCATTAATTGTCTTAGACTTGACTGTTCCTTCGTTTGCACACCAATCATTCTCTGATCTTGTTCTCTTCTCTTCAATTTTCTTAGCCTTCGACTTCCAGGCATTTCACTTTCGACTGGTGATACTGGTGATATATCTGTCGATGTAAGTAGCATACACCACCATATTATCTTAACAGTTAAATTCATAAACCGATCTGGGCTAGACCACCATTGAAAACCATAAAGCACTGGACATTCATTTTGTCCTAGCATGAAACTACACAGCAGTGTACAATCACTATCTCGTGTGCGGTCTAGCTTAGATCGACTTATGAATTTAGCTCCTAATATTACTACAATCTCCACAAATCCCCATTCTGATTTACTCTGCCAGTTGCTGATGAAAGTGATTGCAAAAATCAAATTTAAAGCAACTCAATGATGAATTGCTTTACTCTAAAACTTTTTTCTCATAGGAATTCTGATATTTTCTTGGAAAAATAATTTATCATATAATATCCTCATTAAAACAATAATCATATTAAAAAACTGAAAAATCCCTTACAATCACACGTGATGTATAACTACTGTTAATTGCGACGCCATGCACAAATCTGTGTCCAATTCTATGATTTAAATCTTTCAATTTTGGTAATTGATCAGTATTTTGGGTTAATTTCTCACCAAAATAACATTGAACAACCGTCATACGATTTGTTGTTAAAGTGCCTGTTTTGTCAGAACAGATAGCTGTTGCATTACCCATTGTTTCACATGCATCCAAATGTCGTACAAGATTATTGTCCTATTAAAAAGTGTTTTTCGAAATACAATTTATAAGTACATATGACCATTAAAATACAATAAATCTTAAGCAACATGTCAAAAATGTAAACAAAATTGGTTTAATCATTAAACTTTATGGAATATGAACAAAAAAAAGAAGTAACATGCTCAAAGATGGAACTAACTGCATAAGTCGGTAAGTTCAAAAAGAAAAACACATTAAATAGCATCCACCATTTAAAAAAATGAAAAAGCTAACACTTAAATTAAATTGATTTTGGAAGTTGTGATGAAGATTTATCGCATAAGTGTGTTAAACAACGTTTTATGTTAAATATAAATGTCGTCAACTAAAAGTTTCACTACTTCAGTGTGAAATTGTTTTATGAAAGATATTTTAGAGCACCAAAAATAAAATCTAAAAACTTCATGAAATGTACACAAAACATTGAACGGTAAAATTTCAAGAAGAAACATATTTTTTATATTGAAACCTCAGTCCCAATGATTAATATTTCCTTTTAGTTTGAATATAACCGTGTCTTGTAGCAGATGACTGAATTAAGTTTCAGCCAATCTACAGGAACCCTTGAATCTAGATTTCCGATTGGATGGCATTCATCTGAACTCGCATAAGAGCTGATGTTTTTTCAGAGATTCTAATACACTTCACTCAACTCCAGAGTCATAAATACTACTATTGAGATATTCAAATCACGACTGATACCCCGGACTAACATAGTCTCGCTAATCGGTCAATAAATACTACTAAATATCATGTTGTCTAGTTCTTACTGATGGCTGATCAAATTCAGATATGATTACTGGACAGTAACATCACTGATATAGATCAAATTCAGCCATCTAAAACCATGCTCTCAATATTTTCATTGAAATTGAAAATTATGTTAAAATGAATAATGGATGACATCAAATTTAGCATTTTTTAAAAAAAAATTACATTTTCCTCTTAAAAGCTTTTCTATGTATAACTAGAATGATAAATGTATTAACATAATGCAGTATTGTCTATTTGTTGTTCAACTACGTTTATATGTCAACTCTTGTTTTAATTATTGAATAGAGATCACTAGATTTATGTTGGGTATTTTTTTAATATTGTTAATAATGATTTCCGGTTTGGATTTTTTTCCATACAATATTTCTCATTACTTTTCCCTTATATTTTTCATTCACGGAAAACACTAAAAGATAAGTATCCATAATCATATTTCTTTGTCTAAACCTTTACTTTCACATTTAAACGCGAAAGAAGCTACAAACCTAAACAGGATGATGGGCGTCAACCATTCAATGAAAACGAAGTAAGAAACTAATAAATTTTTAAAATCAATGTTTTATTCTCTGTCTAGTACAAAGAATAGATTTACTGAAAAAAAACATAACAGTGTTACTCAGTCATAGGGAAACCAATAACAATTAGACAGAAAACAGAACTGAGCATTATGTTCTATGTAAAAAATCTTATTCCAATAACAAAATGTTTGTAAGCAGTATATACAGACAACCAACATGAATTTTACAAAACAAAGGGGAGGATACTTGACGTATATCAATCCCTGTTCAATAAATATGATCACTAATTTTAACAAACACATAGTGGTTTTGTCTAATGAAATAGACAATTCAAAAGAAAGAGATATGATGAAAACCAATGATAGAAAGCAGTCAGCCGTGTGTCTTACTAGTTTTTTTTCTTTCTAACTGATTAAACTGATAAGCGTAAGTTGCTGTTCAATCTGTAGTATTACAAAATAAGAGTTGAAAGGACAAATTTCTGAACAACTTTTTATTTGAAAAAAAGATTAAAATTACGTACTATTTATTGTTGTTTTGAAATCTATGGATGAGTAGAGTTGACGGAGATGCTGAAAGTGATGATTCATTGAAATAATGTTGTTCACACTGTTAATTAATGGACAATTTTTTTCACATGAAGTAGGATTATTTAGTTAAGCATAGTTAATGGCTGATTCGTTATAACAACTGGTATTAGTTGTATATAGATTAGATTAAAGCATGTTCCAAGCAGAATTGTGGTCAAGGGCTCTGATTGCCCATTTTGTAGTTTATCGGCGCTAGCGGATACTTGAAAAAAACTCTAAAACTATAAATTTACTAACGTTTCTCTCATTTTTGATATATAGTTCCATTCAACCTCAATTATCAGGAACACAATTACGTTCCTGTTCAACCTTGTTTTGATTTGAGGACTTGTCGAATGAAGTATTGTCCAACAACGCTAAACAACAAGAGCAACTGAGTCGTAATAAGAGAAATCATAAGAACTAAACATATATAGCCTCTTCTGTTGAAAGGATTTTGATTTTAACTGTTGTTGATATTAATAACTGAAATGATCAGTTTCTGGAAGTATAGAGCCATACCCTCGTTAACCGATCTCATGATATCATCTACATTTGCAAATTGACAATGGCTGCGAACAGGATCTTATATTTTTATATAATTTAAAATGCATCATCTTCATGCTAATGTGTGTGACCAACTCTATACTTTGATACCAGCCGGTTGAAATATGTTGAGTTATACTTCTAACTCCAGTTAATTCACAACTTTGTATGGCTATCATCTGATGAATTAAGGCATATCTGTCTCATTTTAGATATTTATGAGAATTATAGGTATTTAGTAAACCTATTTTTACAATTGTTAAGATACTGACGATCATTTCGTTATTTTTTATTTAACGTTTAAATATTAACTACTGAAAATATCTTCTGGTAAATTAGTCAAATAAATAGGTAGAATGCTGTTTGAAAAAAACAATAGCGTTTTATATGATTTCTCTTAATAAATGAAAAACATAATTAATAATCTACGCTAATGATTTGAAAAATGTTTCGAAGTATTTAATTGTAAAATTCAGATTATATTGTCAGTTGTCGAAAACCTAATATGCTTGCAATATACTTGGTCATCACAGATATTATCTTCAGATTCGATAAAATGTTTTTTCACTCCTCTTTTAAATAAGCGACTAATCAAAAAAGATATACATTGACTAAGAGATGAGCTTCACTAACATATCATTTGGTCTCTTTTGTTAGTTATGACATATTTTTACACTTTTAAACTAGTTACCTGACTAGCAATTTGATAGATAATGAAACATTCACATAGTTAATTGACTTTTATGGCATTGCAATACGCCGAACAAGCTGTACATATAACGTTACTAAATTTTTATATCAAATATATATATATATATATATATATATATATATATATATATATATATATATATATATATATATATATATGTATTTCAATCCTGTATCTGATCTGTTGTCAGTATAATATTTTGAAGACTGTCACATTATCTTTGGCATGTCAAATACCTATCTACAAATCATAATCTATTTTTTACTATGCTAAATATTTCTGAAATTAGTTTTTTGTTTTAATGAAAGAAACAATAAGTTGAAAGATAGATTAGGAAAGAAAAAAATAAGTGCTCCATAGTAAAAACTAAATTAATTGCGTTGACATTTCCAATAATTAGTAATCTAATCATAGGAATGTTAAAATTCAGAATTGTTTTAAATTCACTTGATATTGTTTACTTGAGTCCCAGGAAAAACATCAACTCTAGAATGCAGGTACATCCAGCTGATGAGTCCCAAATAGGACGAAACGGGTATCTTGGATTCCTTTCCTAGCCACCATCCGTCTTTGCTCAGAATAGTTTTGCATAAAAAAGTAATTTATATAATTTTGACAGTGAACTGGAAAATTCATGAATAAAGTATGATGTAAGTCATAGTTCTTAATGAACCCTAAAAACATTCTGAAAAAATCAGTGGGTTTTTTTTGAGGATAGAAAAATACCTAGTTTATTTTTAATCTTAGTATCCTTTAGAAACTCCATATGATTTGGGTATACTATGAACTAAGCATTTATCAATAGTTACACTTATCGGAAATTGTGTGTTGTGGTGTAAATCGATAATAAATTTTTGTAATACAGTGGATGATAAAAATATGAAGCTTCAAAATAAATTTCGTTATAAATTAACAGTGATTGAAGAACTACTAAAAATCAGAAAGTATTAGGCTGTAACCTTTAGCTCGTTCGTAAGTCAACTGTACCATGTACTCTTTACGACATAAAATGTTTAAATGACATTTACGAGAACTTCATATTTTCCTTTACTGGTACCATTAGCAATGCTTCAAATTAACTCAGTTCGCCGAACAACTTTATCATAACAATCTGTTAAAATCGAAAGTGTTAATCAATTTAGTAAACCAGTTCAAAAGTGAAGGTAGATTTTGATGCTTAAACTGAACATACATTTTTATCTTTAAATTTAAGTAAGCTAGGAAGCCTATCTATGATATTTTAAAAAATGTCTACTTCAATGAAAAATAAATATAACTTTAAAAAATAAAACATCCGATTCATGTCCAGAAATGATCGTTAAAATATTTAAATATCAATATATGAAGCATTAGAGTTCATTAAAAAAGTACAAGCTGAAAGGAACGAAATAAAATATTATCTCCAAAATACATCAATCACCATACCCACCAAGTGAAAATAAAAATAAATAGTAACCAAAAGTCTTTATATATTTAGCAAAATATAGAATTTCATTTTACTGAAATAAAGAAGCAATGACATATGTTATCTCATGGAGTCCCTATTTTAAATTACCAAAATCTATTTTAAGTTCTAACATCCAAGAGCCATGTATATGAGAAGACTTTCTGTCCCTAAAATGCAGGTATTATAGACCAATAGATTGTATCTCAATTGATAGGACTCAGTATGTTATTTAATATTGACATGCTTCAATATTAATTATTAGATTAACATTTTTAACTCAAATAACGGTGATTTTTATTGTGGATCATAAAAAATACCATGTATAGACACATTTGTCTTCGTTATTTTTTAATGTTTAAGTTTAAATATGATGTAATTACAAACCGGGTCTAATTATATTTAATTCTGTACTAAATAAACATGGTAATAACATCTGATTGAACAAAACAAATAACAAATATAGTATTAATGACTATTGTATTATTTGACAGATAATTCCCATTTAAACATTAAAATTAAAACATGAATTTCACCGAAGGGATCTCTTTTCAACGACTTTATTATCAAGCTGTACAATCGTATATATTTGAAAATTTTGTTTTTGTAAAAGTACTAATTCCGTGAGGAAATGTGAACACAGTTAATAAAAAGGTTATAATACTAGATTACGTAATATGAATAAGAATAATAACAATAGACTTAGTGATTATAATAAGATGATTAAAATGTTTTTGTTATAATAATAATTAAAGGTCATAGAGGTGTAAAAATAAATAAATATGGTGCTATGATGAGTATTCACGAATAAAACAATGAGAATATAAGATATAAGTAAAGGGGAGAATGCAGTAATAATAATAATAATAATAATAATAATAATAATAATAATTGGATAATCAAAATACTTAAGGCCAAGGTAACGATAACGATAAGACGTACTTCTTTTGTACGCATAGTTCTGGTTTAAGCTCCTGGATGGTAAAAGCTTCGGCTATTTTTAAAAGTTGAATGCGAAGAAATCTAGGTAGATTTGAACGAATCATATAAACAACCTTAAATTCATTTCTTGGATCAGTGGAATGGTTACAGTCGATTAGGTGTTCAAGTATAGAACTCCTAACTGCTTTCCTTTCTCCCTTATAGAACCATGCTGGAATATGTTCCCGTATTATTTCACTGATTTTTTAATATCTTAATGTTTTGGAAATAATCTACAAACCAACCGAAAATCTATCTGTACATTTTCACATGTGTTCTTATACTCTTATATTATAAAATTTGTTCCTATCAATCAAAATTATGTCATATAAACAATACAGTAAGTTAAGAAAATAAATTGGCAAATTTGAGGAAAAGTGAAAAATAGAAAACATTTTTTTCATTTCATTTTACTTTTGTCCTTATATACATTTTTTATTTAATCATGACCTTGATTCTGATTATTATTACCATCATTATTATCAATATTTTAACCAAATTTCAAATATCTTCTGTAACTTATCTAAAGTTCATGAAATGTTTCTTATTCTTCCTAATAACGAACTCAGTGAATCCATGAACAAGAGATAATGTACAAATAAACGTTTATGCATATGAAAGTAATGGACAAGAAATTATGGTTAGCTTCAACTACTAAACACCTTAACATATTGGATATGATGTAAAGTCATCGAGGTGATCAGCTGCATTAAAAGATTAATGAACCAAAACATTGGTTACTAACTAGTACTGTTGTATTAAGAAAGTGATATGCTGAACAAGAAGATATTTCACAATTTAGAATAAAAGCAGCTTTTGTGTATCAATTTACACCGAACCAAACAGATTGACATTATTTCTAAAGAACTTTATCGAATCCTACTATGACATATTAATTTTTAAAACTTTGAAATGGAGTTTTTCTGATTAAATTTTTGATAAAAAGATGTCAGTTGAAAAAAAGGGAAATAATTCCCACTAACAAATGTGATGGCTGAGCTATTTAAGTTGGAGAGTAATAATGATTGATCTGAAACACATTTTGAGCTAATTGGTTTATTCATAGCAACAAAAGACTAAATAATTTAGGTCAATATCTCTTTAAAAAATTGAACTAAAGGACTCAGCGGTAATGCGATTCCTGTAACAATAGCATGTTAATATAAACTATAAATAATTATCAAAAAAGAAATCCCCTATACCTTTAGTTGGTATAATCACAATGATTTTTTTAATGAGCCAGATGTTTAAGTACGATTGATAACATATTCCAGATAATCTCAACGATCTGTACCTTCAGAGTATAATATAGCCACCAAATAAGTAGTAATGGTGTTAAACAAGTTGTTTTAGTCGAAAAATATAAATTAGCACCTACAAAGTTAGACAGACTCTCAGCCTGTTACTCCTCGTGAAAGAGCATAGGCCGTTCACCAGCATTCTTCATTCAGTCCTGTCCTGGGCAATCCTTTCTAGCTCCTTCCAGTTGTTAGTCTTCCTTTCCATATCTGCTTCTATTTCTCGACGTAATGTGTTCTTTTCCGCTTCCCTTCAGGATTCCAAGTTAGAGCTTGTCTCGTGATGTAGTTTGATAATTTGCGTAATGTATGTCCTATCCATTTCCATCGTCTTTTCCTAATTTCTTCTTCAGCTTTAAGTTGGTTTGTTCTCTCCCACAGAAGGCTATTGCTGATGGTATCCGGCCAATGGGTGTTGAGTATCTTGCGTAGACAGCTATTTATAAATACTTGTACTTTCTTGATTGTGGTTGTTGTAGTTCTCCAAGTTTCAGCTCCATACAGTGGAACTGCCTTGACGTTGGTATTGAAGATTCTCAATTTGATATTGGTTGAAAGTTGTTTTGAGTTCCATATGTTCTTTAATTGTAGGAATGCGGTCATTGCTTTGCCAGTCCTCACCTTTACGTCTGCTTTTGATCCTCCTTGTTCATCGATGATGCTTCCCAGGTGTGTGAAGGATCCTATATCTTCCAGAGTTTGGCCATCAAGTGTGATTGGATTGCTGTTCTCTGTGTTGTATTTGAGGACCTTGGTTTTCCCCTTGTGTATGTCAAGGCCTACTGATGCAGAAACTGCTGCTACATTGGCTGTCTTTATCTGCATCTGTTCGTGTGCATGCGATAGGAGGGCTAGGTCATCTGCGAAGTCCAAATCGTCTAATTGATTTTGAGCTGTCCATTGTATTCCGTGTTTTCCTTCAGATGTCGAAGTCTTCATAATCCAATCGACCACCAGAAGAAAGAGGAAAGGAGAGAGTAGATAGATTTGTCTGATTCCGGTTCTTACTTGGAATGCATCTATCAGCTGTCCTCCATGCACGACCTTGCACTGTAGTCCGTCGTATGAGTTCTGGATAATGTTGACGGTCTTCTCAGGAACTCCATAATGTCGAACAATTTTCCATAACATTTTCCCATCTTCACTCCGCCCGTAGCTCTTCTAAAGCTACTGCCGGTCCCAAGGCCAAGTAAAGGAGGAGGGTTGGGCATGAGGTTAGTGACTCGATCCTGTAGAAAACTAACTCGCTAAAAAACGTTAACCAGAGAAAATAATTCAAACTATTTCAGTGTTTAGCTATTCAAATTTTATCCCTACATAAATTATCATGAAATAAGAAAAAGCAAAGTATAAACAAACCAAGACAAGATAATAAAACAAAAAAACTACTGACTGTTTATGCACCATAAAGTGTTTTCCGAAAACTGAAGATCTTAAATGATGGAACTGATTTAGAAATGCATTCATCCCTTAACTTCTTCCAAATCAAAAACTATCCATTAACATTTAATACTTTTATTTTCTAAATAATTATATGTCTCATCTAGTTCAATTCACACATTGACTTTCTTCATATGTTAATAAAAAGTTCAAACTCCCGAATTGATTGTATTTTGTGAATACATGGTACATTCATTTGTTTTTCTGATCTTGTTCTACTCTGTTAGCTGCCAACTGACAATACAATGATTTGGCTGTTTAATTTAGATATTTTTCACATTTTTTGTAAGAAAAAATACCAGATGAGTACAAATTCATTTTTGTGTTGTGTTTTAATTTTCCCGTTGATGTTTAAGACTGCAATTGATCAGTCGCTGTTTGACAGATGTGGACCCTGTGCGGTTTGCCTAGATACGGTTTTAGATCACAGGCATTCTAAGCAGAGATGGATAGTAGCTAACGGTGGAATCCAGGACGCGCGTTTCATCCAACGTAGTGTCTATTGGACTCCGTTGTTAAGTGGATAACGTGAACGATATTGGTTTTGAGTCCTTGAGGGAACATCAAAACTAGGATGCAGATACATCCACCTGACGAGCCTTAAATAGGACGTAGTACACTTCCTGAATTCCACTGCTAGCCATAATCCGTTTCTGCTTATAATGATTTTATTTATTTTAATTGCACAAACAAAAGTATTGTTCTCTACTCAGTTCTATAGTACACATCTTACGACTAATTCATTGTTTTATTTTGTTATAGTGTACTAACCAAGTATTAGCCTAATGGATAACAAGAACAAAAATAATATAAAATCACTTTTAGTAAAAGTTCCACTGTTAGATATCATTATCTCAGTTTAAATTGACTAAAACCTGACTACAGAAATGCAGACCTCAATATTAAATATTACTGAACCGAATTTAATTTATTTACCGTAAGGACTGAAATTCTTAATTTTAATTGTTGTTGAAGTCAATATTTGTGCATTTCTAATGTTATTTCTATAGATATTCTGACGAAAAATCTAGACAGTAATATATTCTTTCTTTAAAATTTGATTTCAAAGTTGAAAGGATATTAGCCATTCGTCGATTGTCTATCTAACAACATATATCAATATTATTTATCGACATAAAACAACAGGCTAAATTGCTTACTTTCATCATTTTCTTGACAGAATAAGCTAATGAAATAGTTACAGCTAATGGAAGTCCTTCGGGCACAGCAACCACAAGTACTGTTACACCAATAATAATAAACTGTACAAATTGATGTAAATGTCTGCTTGTATCCCAATGTTCTTTGTTAAAATAAAATGTATTGACAGAAAATTTTACAATTAATATCATTACTGTTAAACTAGCCACAACGGTACCTTTAAAGAAAAAAAAAGATAAAGGGTAATTAATAATTTTGATTAAATTATCGAAAAAAAATTAATGAACAGTTCGAATTAAAACGATCAACATTTAAAAAATAATGAATCGGAATTCACGAAATATTTGATCTTCAATCAATCGTTAACATAAAAAAAATTTAAGGGGTTTAGTTTTTAATTTACTTCAAATAAAAACGAAATAAAACGAATTTTATTGGTGTAGTTTTTTTCACTCAAATACTAAGAAAAAATACGTTCATATAAATTGAAAGATAATCAGTTCATCGAACGGTTTATCACGTAAAGGTAGTCAAATACATTGACTTATTTCATTCGACTTTTATCGTGGATTCTTAGATTTCTAATCATATACTTCTTTAATAAAAAACGATTTTTTTTCCATTACTTTCTATCACCTACTAACAAGTAGTAAAGCTAATTGGTCAATGATTCCATGCACAACACCATTATCAGATTAACTTGAATCTTTTGCTCATAATATATTCATCTACATTTGAACCATGCGGCATAAACGTTTCTCATTTTAATAGATTGAAGCTATAGGTTAATTAGACACTTATTTTTGACTGGAGCCAGGTTATCAAGTTGTAAATCTAAATAGATTTCTACCTACCAAATTTCAACATGATTACTAATCGGTCTGGTAAACAATATTTTTAATTTAAGATGTCTGGGTGCAATCACAAATAGCGTATTTCATATTTGTTGATGGTCTGAAAGTTTCAGGCTCATTTAAGACAACGTAACGAGTGTTCACACATGAGAAAAATCATGAATGTTTTGCTTCTGTCTTATAAAAATATCACTGTTATGAGAATCACACTTGTTCAAGAGAGTTCAAGAAAGAAAATGAACCGATAACTAATGATGAAAATCATAAATCTTAGTCTATTCAAGCACTGATTTTTACCAAATGATAGATTATTCTCTTAATAAATAAAATCATAGAGTAAATACAGTTTGCTAGAAGTGTTTAAAAACAGCCAGTTTGTATTCTAATTTAATGAAATTATGATCCCTTTCTGCTAGATTAAGCCTTATTTTGTTTAAAAATAGGGTAATCATTCATTTATATTTATATATAACGAACAGTTTTAAGATTGTATATCAGAACTGGACCTATATTTGTAATGCTAGCTAATAACAGAAATTCTGTAAAAAATGTCTAAATATATGAAGTTATGCTTTATAACTCTTACTGACTTTGTCAATCAAATTAAAGTTAACTGATATATGCACAGTATGAACGAAGTTTGTCTAAAGTCTAATTTATATATAAAATTAAGTTTTTGTTTATTTAACATATTTGTTAAACTTATTTATTACTATTAGATATACATTTGACTGCCATTCATGTAATTATTTCATCATTTATCAAGAAAAGAGGAAAAAGATAAACATTTGGATGAAATTTTAAGTAGGCGATTTATTTAGTTTTATGACATAACAGTTGTTTTCTGTGTGTATAAAATCATATAATTTTAGTTTACTTCAGTGTAGATAACAAAAATATTGCGGTGGGATAATCTAACAAACTGAAAAGATTAATCAGGATATTTATATTTCTACATGTCTTGTGCATAATAATCTCTTTTGAAGTTTGTTATCATTAAGTAAAGTAAATAAGTGACTGTTAGGAATAATCAATCGACTAGTAAACAATTTTTGTCTCATTTTATACGTCTATCATTGAGTAGTAATTCTATAGATAAAATAAATATGAATATCAGTATGAGGATTTGTAGAAATTGTAGCAGTTTTACAGTTGAATTCACGAATCAACATAAGCTAGACCACTATTCAAATCTGGAAGTGTGAGATATCTCAGCAGTGTATATACATGATCCTGCACGCGGGACTCAAACCCATGACCCGAATGCTTAACCTCTAGACCACTGAGATGGCATCCAACGGTGAAAATAATACAATCTTCAAAAACCCACATACTGATAATATTCATATGCTCACTAGTGACTAGCTTCAAGACGGAACTCCTAGGGATCTAGTGAGAAGATATGACCAGTGAATTCCAGTGCATCCAGATTTTCAATAGTGGTCTAGCTTAGATCAACTCGTAGATCCAACTATGAAAATACGAATGTAGTCAGTTCAGTCTGACAATTGTAATTCACTGAATACTTATATTAGGCACTGAAGGCAGACGTAGCGATAACTGCAGGGATACTCCACATTCTCTTCAGCAAGTTTCGGGATGAGGAACAAGTACCAGAAGACTGAAACGAATGAATCCTGATCAAAATACCGAAGAAAGGCGACCTCAGCAACTGTGATAACTACAGGGGCATCACTCTTCTCTCAATACCAGGAAACGTCTTCAACAGGGTATTGTAAAAACAGGATGAACGACTGAGTAGACACCCAACTTTGAGACCAACAGGCAGGATTCCGTAAGGATTTATCGTGTACAGACCAAATCACAACTCTACAGATCATTGTGAAACAATCAATTGAAAGGAATTCATCACTCTACATCAACTTCATTGACTACGAAAAGGCATTTGATGGCATAGACGGAACAACACTATGGAAGCTTTTTCGACACTACGGTGTACCTCAGAAGATAGTCAATATCATACGGAGTTCCTATGATTGATTAAACTGCAAAATCGTGCATGGAGGACAATTGACAGACTCGTTCGAGGTAAAGACTGGTGTCAGGCAAGGTTGCTTACTCTCACCCTTTCACTTTCTCCTGGTGATCGACTGGATCATGAAGACGTCAACATCTGGAGGGAAGCACGGGATACAATGGACATCTAGGATGCAGTTGGACGATCTGGACTTCGCAGATGATCTGGCTTTTCTATCGCAAGAAATGCAGAAGACGACCAGGATAGCAGCAGCCTCAACAGCAATAGGTCTCAATTTACACAAAGGGAAAAGCAAGTTTCTCCGATACAACGCAGTATGCACCAATTCAATCACAATTGACGGAGAAGATTTGGAAGATGCAAAAACCTTTACATATTTGGGCAGCATCATTGATGAACATGGTGGGTCTTATGCAGATGTGAAAGCCCAGATCGGTAAAGCAAGAGCAGCATATTTACAACTAAAGAACATCTGGAACCCAAAGCAACTGTCAACCAACACCAAGGTCAGGATTTTCAATACAAATGTCAAGACAGTTCTACTGTATGGGTAGGAAACCTGGAGAACTACAAAAGCAATCATCCAGAAGATACAGGTGTTTATTAACAGCTGTCTACGCGAAATGCTTCGGATCTGTCGGCCAGATACTATTAGCAACAGCAAACTGTGGGAAAGAACAAACCAGATCCCAGCGGAGGAAGAAATTAGCAAGAAGCGCTGGAAGTGGATAGAACACACATTGAGGAAAGCACCCAACTGCGTCACAAGACAAGCCCTTACTTGGAATCTTCAAGGCCAAAGGAAAAGAGGAAGACCAAAGAACACATTACGCCGGAAAATGGAGATAGAAATGAGAAGAATGAACAAGAATTGGATGGAACTAGAAAAGAAGGCCCAGGACAGAGTGGGTTGGAGAATGCTGGTCGGCGGCCTATGCTCCATTGGGAGTAACAGGCGTAAGTAAGTAAGTCAATACTTATATTAAAAGCTAAAATTGTTGAAGTAGTATTCGATATCCGTTTAAATTATAGTTAAAATTAAATGATCTCTTTTTATTCCCACTTTGTCTAGTTGAATAGACTTGATTTTTTAAAAATTCACTGGTGGACGTTTGTCCTTTATTTTGTGCTTCTATACTATAAAAATTGGTAATTATTAAGATGAAATGAATTATACTGCCTGTTGTCTTTCGATTAATAGCAAATGCGTCCTCGTTTTTGAACGAAATAGGAGATTGTTATTGATAATTTCACTAAGTATGGAGACACGATGGTAGCTTCTCAAATATATTAAGCGCTTTAGTCATGCTGAAAATGATATTTAAGAAACAGTACGCTTTGTAATATATCCTGAAGCTATATCTGCCAGTGGTGATCGACAAATGATAGACAAAATATCTATGATCTTTTTAGAATACACTGGATTCATCTTCCCATGAAATTACAATAGATTATATTTTAGGATTGTACAAATAAAGTAGAATACCTGTTCGAAACCTAACAAGTTTTATTGATCATTAATTAAGATACACTGAAAACTTATTTAACTTACCCAGTTGTCCAATCAAGCTGGCTAAACGAGTTAACTTCGCTTGAAGCACTGAATACTTTTTCTTTCTTCGTTTACGCCCTTTAGGTGCATCACCGCTATCTTCAGTAGCCTCTGCATCTCCACTACCTAAACTGTTACGCTGATTTAAATTATCATGTTGATGATTTTCAATACGACCACCTGTGGCTGCCGATTTATTTTTACCTGGTCCCACAACTAAAATATAACCAAAAAAGAAGTACAATAATTAGTCGTTAATAATGACGTTTCTTAATATATATATATATATATATATATATATATATATATATATATATATATATATATATTGCACACGCTTTTTGACTAAGAAGTTTGTAAAGTAAGACACCTTTCAATATTTGTCTCTTGATTTCAATTCGGCTTAAATAAAAATCCAAAACTAACTGTAGTATTTAACAAGTTGGTTTTTTTATAAATATCTTGTATCTTTGGTGGGGATTTTAATCATCTGAATCAGTTAGGACTAAAGGAAACTGAAAAGTTAGTTTTTTTTATCTTCGAAGTACTTAGCTTAATACTTAAAGACATATTCAAATAACAGCTCATAGAGTTTCATATAATTAGTAAACAAAATTGATTGACATTTGATCACAGAGAACTATAATTAATATATAACTACATATATATAACTACACTTTTAGTAGATATGCTAATGTTCATCATCATTAACTGATCTCCTAGTGCACCTCTGTCATTTGCATCTGACAGAAGTATACAATATAACATTCAAAGTAAAACGTTCATGAGTTCAGTTTCTATTCTACATGAACATCGATCAACTGATCATAGAAATTGATGTTTGCCTAAATTATCTTCGAGATTTGTTAACTATTGTAAAATCTAAAAATAAATAAACATTAACAATCAATAAAGTATGAATTTTTATTACACAGTTAAGCCAGTAATTAGTATGTCTGACTCCATTCTAGCCTTCTAATTCCAACAGTAAAGCAAAAAATATGAGTGAATTGAAGAACAATGTCAAACATATTCCTTTCGTAATATTTACTTTATATATATCAATAAAGTGAAAACCTCTAAACAAAGAAAGACAGTTAATAGAATATTTACATGCATATTGTGGTTTGTTTAAAACGTTAAAAGCTAATCTTGAACTTTGCGTGTCTAAAGTGTACCAGTTATTCCATTACAATATAAGTAAGAAATAGGCGTTTTGTATCTGTTTTAACAAACTATAAATGCGAGTAGATATTTACTAGTGTTGAATATAGACACAAAATATACAATCTTGAAAAATATAATTTGAGATCAGTAGTTAAAATGAACGATGGGTATATTATATTCAGTTATATCAGTTTATGCAGAACTTTGTTGAATAGAAAGTTCCTTTTTTGACTAAACTGTGAAGTAATTATGTGTTTCATACCAACTTACAGCAAACAGATCTATTGTACATAATGAACAGTTATATAAATAATTCAAACGGCACTGTTTTCTAGCATATTTATAAACCTACAACCAAACATTATCTTTAATTATGATAAAAACCTTATCTAATAGTTGAACATTCTGGAAGCATAGCTTTCAGATCATTTAGCAACGAACAGCCACATCGACACAGGCTAGGGGTTAACTAACCATGATATTCGATGTAAATGAAAAGACAAACGAAGACAACAAAACCTATGGAAATTGCCAACCGCAAATAAGGCAAACGAAACAAACTGATATACCATTAGTGGAATAACTAGAAAGTTGATTGCTACATAAAGTAGGTAGTAATATTGTCCATAATGACAATGAAAACTCTACATCTAAATCCCATAGTTCAGGGAATAAACCATCAACAAAACTATCCATTTAATCGTGAATCTTCTCCATCATTTTACCGATTACAAATACACTAAACTAGTTATTGTTCAATAAATCTAGTTACGTAATTCTTTGTTAAAACTATCTCTCTACAATATATTGCCCAATTCATTAGAATTCAATAAGTGACCCTGATGTGAAGTATGAATCGAAAGGATGTTTAGACAATAAAATATTTAATTAATGTACAATTTATGATGAGAATAAATTGTATGTTAAAAAATCGCTAATATTTTACATACAGGTGTTTTTCGAGTATTTTTTTAAAATGTTCGTTCCGTACTACATTCAGTGCAAAATGTTACAAATTTTTCTGCACCAAACATACTAGAATGAAACTGTATTTGTATCAATAAAGTTGAATATAAATATTTTAAAAAAAGGATTTAAAATGAATAATTGTACGGCATCATTCTTTTGAACTCTGCCTGTAGCTCTTCTAAAGTTACTGCCGTTCTCAACCCCGGGCATCGGGTCAGCAACCCCATCCCGTAGAAAAAAACCTTGCTAAAAGAACACTAACCAGATTGAATAAATCATTCTTATGAAGTTCAGTAACATCATACATACATATCACTGTGTTTTAAATATCGTCATGTGAATTCAAACTACTACTTATTGATTATTGGTACTATAACAACTAATTGTATTTAGCTTATGTTTTAAAAATTCCCATAGATAATCTGATTCATAGTTCAAACTAAGAAACAGTGATTATTTTAAGTGTAAATGTATAATTAATATTTTATTACAATCTTTGTTTTATTAACATTATCAGTAAGAAATATAATTTATAGGTTACAATGAATTCAATTGATTTTAGAACAATAAATATTGTAGGATAAAATGAATACAATAAATTTTATATACAGATTTGTTAATGAAATGTGTATTTATACAAATAAATAGTTATGCTAATAAAATGCCTGTATAGTGGTTCACTTTGCCGGTTAAAAGAACGATTATATATATACATAGAAACATTCAAGTAACAATTTGCAAATGTTTCTAACAGTTAATTATATCTTAAATTTTCACGCTTATTGTATTGCAATAAATTAAATATATTTTTATGATTATTATTTCTTTTTTTTTAATTTTACGAGCAAACTGAATTAATTTATGCATATTTTTTTAAAAATAAAATACATTTGTAAACAAAAAGAAACAATAATAATTCACATATTGTTTAGAAAATTATTGCGTTCTTTATTTTTTTTGTGTGGAAAATTTATGGTTTATAAGATAAAATGAGCTCACTTAATATTGCTAGTATAGGGGTTGTAGAGATTATTAAGTTTTTGTTTGAGATCATGTACCGATTGATGTTAGACCACCTTTGGAAACCTGGAAGCACTGGACGACCGTTTCGTCCTGTTGTGGGACTCCTTAGCTATGCGCATCCACGATCCTGCTAGCGGGATTCGAACTCAGAGCCTTCGGTCTCGCGCGTGAATGCTTAACCTACTAAACCACTGAGCCGGAATCCAATGGTGATAGTGTCTAACATCAACCAATCCACTTAATATTATTATTTTACAGTAAAATTTTATTTATGCAATTGTATTGAATTAAGGTGGATTATTTTTGTTTAAAAGTTTGATGATTTAATTAATTTTCACATTAACTGTCGAGAAACTTAAGTTAAATTAATTATTGATTTGCCAGCGAAAGAATTGAACTCTTGATATTACATCGGTTATAGTTATTCACAACAGGAGATGTATGAGCATTGTGCAGCATCAAGTATTGATTGAATTAAAACATTGAAATTGTTAAATGCTGAATCATTGATCTCGGGGTTGTATCGTCACAAAAAAATTCGGATTAAATCTCTGATAGGATTTTGATTGTACACTGTTGAAGAGTTGCATGCTAAGACAAAAGGGCAGGTTTTCAACGATCATCAAGCTAAGATCAGTCTGTTTCAAGTTATGAAAATTATTATTTGCTAATATTGACCATAAGCTGTTCAGCTCTACATGGTGTATACAGTTATCCTTGCAGAATAGATGAGATAATTATGTCGAGATATAGATACTAAATCGTTTCACGCTGAATAGTGAAAGGTCATTATAGTTACTGTGAAATCAAATATTCTTATTTTAATAAATAAACATAAAATTCTGCACTGTTCTTCTTTTACTATGCATTACATGACACCGGTACTATGACTGATATAAAGTCACAAACTGTAGATTAAAATGTTAAATTAATTTGATTCAGTAAAAAAACACATAGGTCAATGTTGTCCTTCATTTCGAGTTCACGTTAATCGTATTATAAAACTCATGTTATCAAAAAAAAATAAAATATTGATGGATTTTCAATGGTTGATGTGAAAAAATATATTTCGAAACCTGATCAATATGTATGTTTCATACTTAATAAGATAAATATGTCAAGAAAGCAAACTCTAAATGAAAAGAAGCATCCAATGTAACATTCAATCTTACTGTGTAAAAATATTCCGATTACTGCGCAATTAATGTAATCTAGATACATTCAGTTAGTTTTTAGTGGCCCTTTATCTGGCTTCAGTTTGATTGTTTTTGAGTGCTATTAAAATTTACATATCGCCAATCCTCGTATAAAATTATCGATCTAAATCGCGTTGATGAATAATGGAATTAAATAAGGCAAATATTTTGTACACTCGTTAATCGGAAAATACAATCAAAGAATCGCAGCGAATGAAGCAAAGAAAAGAGAATAAAGCGAAACGACATGCAGTGGAGATGGCGTGTGAGCCAATTCCATTTAATCAAGCGCTAATCGATATTTATAGTCACACAAAAATAAGCTACAGATACGTGAAGAGTAGAATAAGATGCACACATATATACACTCATATAAATAGTCAGTGATGATAAGTAAATAATTAAAAAGTGTCAAAAAGTGACTCAAAAAAAATGGATAAATTCGCCTGTCCAGAAGCTAGAATGAGTTATATTGGCTTAACATAGTAACTGACACTGTAAAATAACAAATGAAATTTGCAAGTATTTTTTTCCCGATTCAATAGTATTACTGTAATTAACCGAAACAAAAGAAATTAATTTCTAGTCTTTAAAATTATTGGTTATTCAACTTAACTTTCAGCTGGAAAATTGCTTTCATTACCATATATATATATATATATATATATATATATATATATATATGTATATATATATATATATATATATATATATATATATATAAATGATGGTTTTTGATAAATATTTATTCAATCAATGGATTAAACGCCTTTTTAAACTTATTATGATGCAAAGAAAATTAGTAGGACAAAATGATTAAAGAAAATATTTCTTTGTTTCAATGGTGATTTCTTCATGAAC